CAGCTAAGCCCAGCCCAGCCCACCACCTGCTGATTTGCATGTCCCCAGAGCACAGCAGGAGGGACTTCTTAACAAGCTGTCACGATCTGGGCAAGAGTAAGAGGCAGTCAGAACACAGCATGGGCATGAGGGTCCCTGCTCAGCTCCTGGGGCTCCTGCTGCTCTGGTTCTCAGGTAAGGAGGGCAGCGCTGGGGATTTGCTCAGCACCATGTGTTCTTTATTTCTTGCCTCTCCAGAGAAGTTTTCTGAAAATGTGGTTGATTGTGTTTATGTTTCCCATGTCAGGTGTGCACTGTGACATCGTGATGACCCAGTCTCCATGCTCTTCTGTCAGTCTCTTAGGAGGTAGAGTAACCATCAGGTGCCAGGCCAGTCAGGAGGCCAGTGATAACTTAAGTGGTACCAACAGAAACCAGGTGACTCTCTTCACCTGATCTATAATTCTAAGCATATTGACCTTACAACCTCATCAAAGTTCAGTGTCTTTGCACATGGGACAATATACACTCTCACCATCTGTAACCTGAAGGCTGAAGACTCTGCCACTTACTACTGTTTCCAGTACAGTACAACACCGCCCACTGTGATTCGAGCCATAACAAAAACCTTTGAAAGAAGCAGAACTAGGAGGCTGGGCAGCCCCAGATGCTCCTCCTGGGACCCCAACTGCTGAAAATATTTCCTAGACACAGCCAAGATTTCAGAGTCACTGGACAATTTGGAATAAAGAGACATGAAATTGTCCTCTGAATAATTAATGTCTCTCCTCCTTTTGGGTCTTATCAAACCAGAGTGTTAATGCCTTTCTCAACAGAAGAACGGTTATTATATCTAGTTTTTGTATTGTGTCATCCTTTGGAACTCATCAAGTAAAAAAGTGTTGAACTTACTCCAAGGGGAAATTGCTTTAGTATGGAGATTTACAATCTTTTCAACCATTTTTGCCCTCCTGAGGTCATGAAAGAAGTGGATGCTGCAAATAGGATCCTCTCTGTCGCTCCACTGGGAGTGCCAGGCATCACGCAAAGGACCCTCAGCCATATGGGAATCTGTCCTGAAGAGAGAGCCCAGGATCACAATTCTGATTTATCATTTGTCCAAATCAGCCCTCCATAAAAATCTTCAGCTCTCACCTTTGCTCTTACACGGGCCTGCTGAAACTTAGATATCCTAAGCCCTCTCCTTTCTTTCAAATCTCAGAGGATTATTGCTTCATGGTCTTCTCTACAGCTAAGCATGGAGACACAAGTGTTTCTGAAAACTTTATTTTATCTCAGCGATGGTGAAACTGTTGATAGGGCACTGTCAGGAATGTCAGCTTTGCCCCATATCTCAGGATTTTTTTTCTAGCTTTAGAGAGGGCCTAAAAATACGCTGGAATTTATTTCAATTTATTAGCTGTGAATGCAATATCATATCAGACTGTTTCATAAAGTCATAGACTAAAGTGAAAATAAGAGAGGAGGAAAAGAAATATGGGGAGATTTGTAGATGAAGTTTGAATTCTAACCTTCTTGACAAATCTTCCTTGACAAAAGTAAACAGCAGCAACACAGTACAAAAAAGAATAAAAATGAAAAAAAATAGTACTCAAAGCGAAGTAAACATTTTTAACAATTGTCTTTCTTAGTTTCAGTGGCTTTCCAAACATATGGATTTTGCTGCAGAGCAAGTCTCCCATTGCTAGACGCATCACCATGGTCACCAGGTCACCTCATGAATCAGGAAGGACAGATGCTTCTCGGGTAGTGAAAGGAGTCAGGTTCTATGGAAGGCTGAAGAGGCTGCATTGCGGTGGGTTTTTACTTCAGCTACAGAAATTGTTGCCTTGGTGGGGACATTTAAGAAAATTTGCATTTAGGGGGACATGCTGAAAATACATGGCACTTTTACTCTGAATGTCAAATTGTATTTTGAACATATACATGGGCTAAATGTTGAAAAGCACAATTATTTTCATGGTCTTATCAAATTCTTTCATAACTAATGGGAACAAAGGAGTTTAGAATCATTGAGAATCATCAAATCAGAAGAGAGCCTCGAAATGTGATGCGTCTGTGTTCAAGAACATTGGAGGGAACCTGACCACAGCAGTGGCTGCAGGATTTCTCTCACGCCTCACATTGCCAGAGACTCTGTCCTGGTTATCTCAGCCCTCGGGTGCTGGGTGCAGCTCAAGCTCAATTTATAGTGTGAAAACCACCTTGGTGTCCCAGCAAGATCCAAGGAAGTCTACCCCGGATCGATCTAGGAAATGATGCTCACAGGAGCATCCATGAACACGATGATAAATGCCTACTTATTTTGTAGACGCAGCTATGAATACTGATGGTGACGAAGCTGACTAATGCAGTACTTCCGTATCCGCACATTGTCTTTGGGGTACTTAGGGAAATTAAATCTTTTAAACAATCAAAGAAACATTACATAAAAGAATACAATAAAGTTAGCTTCAATATGCAATGAAGTTTGTCATTAACTAAATGGCACATATCTGAGGCACCAGTAAAATCACAGTGTTCCAGTGACTGGTGGGCCAACTCTGAAACCATCCTGCAAGCTTGGGCTTATCTGTGCATAATATTGAGTTCCATTTCTCTTCCGTCTTCCTCCCCTTTCTCATTTGCCCTTAGGATGCTGGTCTGTTTGTCCTGGCTCCCAACAGAACTCCTTAGCCCTGCAATTTGGCTTCAGCTGCGTGGAGCCAAGGCCCTGCTATGTAGGGAGCCCCTCTCGCCAGCATCAGAAGTCGACTCTTCCTCTCTCTGTCCCCCCAGCATCTACCCATTTATAGGTTCATGGCATGCAGTAACATGGTGATGCGTTAGGCTTTAGAAATCAAACACCCCCAACCGTGGCTTCTTATAGTATATTGTTGTCTTCAGCGTTGTTGTTCAGATGGCAGATATTAGCATATGGAGTTAGCCAACGTGAAAGTTTTAAACATGAACTACTATTTTCGAAGCACTTATGGAAATCAGTGATAATATCATCTCGTCCATCTTGTATATACACTTTCATGATTTTCCCTTTCCTTTTGTCCTTTCCTTTCTCCTTTCCCTCATCTTCTCCATTTATTCCTTATCTTCAGTTTATTTCCATTTTACTATATCTAGCATACTTTTCAGATTTTATTTATTCTTTCAGCTGGTTTGAATGGGACCACCAATCCATTTCTAATGTCTTATCAATTACTATTATAACACTCTCTTAAAAATAAATTGAAAAATAATAAAGTAAAAAGGTTAAGAAAAAAATTATTAAGATCTCTTGAAAGCAAGTGTGAATGTTCAATTATTTGTCCACACTTGCAAACCCGTATCTGTTAATCTGAGTAAAGATTTGATGATAAAAATATGTAATGTAAAAAACATTATTAATTTGCTAATTTTGCTTTGAAAATATGTGCCATATGTATTGTTGTATGTTATTGTGTTTCTCCCTTTGTTTTTTCCTTTTTTTTTTTTTTCAGAACCAGGGATTGAACTCAGGCCCTTGCACTTGCCAGGGAAGTGCTTATTCCACTGAGCCATCTCCCTGACCCCTGTTTTTGCTATTTGTCTTTGCTTTTGTTTTTATTCTTTAAAATAAAATAAAACAAGAAAGAAAACTTTCCCAAAGTGCAGGGCATCAGGAAGTCTGCTGGGTCCCATGGGCATTATACTCTGAGGGGATAACCCATTCAGAGCTATGAGTGCTGTGAGGTTGGAGTGAGAAGCCTGCAGGAGGGGTTCTGAGTCACTGCAGTTGCGACCCAGTAGGCTGCATGCCTGCCCTGAATCTCCCCTTCTCTCTCCGACTCTGGGCTCCCTCAGCATAAACACCTTCCTCCCCCACACCTTTCACCAGGCCACTTCCTTCTCAGAGCCACTCAGGTAGGAACTGAACCACCCGAATCCTCTTGGGGAAGGAAAACTGTCCTCCCTTAAATTCCAGCTGGAGAGGCTTTCTCCCATCCAAGCAGACATTACTGTCATATGATGACAGAAGCATCGGCTCATGCAGTGATGCGCTTGGCCAGGAAGAGATCTCGGACTGCCTCTGGCCTTCCATGTCCCCTAGCTGCGCTTGCATAACTCTGCCTCCACACACTTTGCATTTCATTAAAATGTCAAAGCAGCTGTTGCCTCACAGGTGCTGTCACAGGGTCCTCCAGGATCTGTTGGTTAAGAACACACTGGAAACAGGTGGCATTTGTGAAGCAGGGTTACTCTCTGAATTTCAGAGGCAGCTCCACCCCTCCTCACCGCACTGCAGGCTGGGATGAGGCAGGCAGAGGGCAGGACTCAGCAAGCTCGGCACATCTGGAACCTTCTCATGCCTCAGCTGCCCCACCCTTCTCCACATCCCTCCTACCGAGCATGGAGCTCCACACAGGAGCTGGCCTGAGCTGGTTTCTCCCACTCAGACTTGCATGGCGCTTGGGGATGGGAAGGATGAGGCCGTGTTCACAGGTCCGGAACTGGAGCCCACAGAACCTCCATGCCGACCCTCGTCCCTGGCTGGGGTGCTCAGGGCCCACACACTTGCCCAACTGCACCTTGAGGCTGCCGTGGGGATCACATACCCGAGAGTTGTGTCTATCTTAAGAGTACCATTTTTCAGGATGTCGAGTAAACTGCTCGTATTTTGTCCTGAATATCTGGACAAGTGATTGAAGAAAGGAGTGCATTTTTCTCTCAAACAGTATGAACTGGAGATGGTTGAAATGTTATGGGACTCATGAAAGTGTGTTTGAAAACCAAACAAGTGATGGGGACTCAAACGGATAGTTCTATTAATTGCTGTGTCCCAAATCGGCCATTAGATGGCGAGCGAACGCATAACAAATGAAGCCCACAGGCTTGGTATTAAGAAGACTGGGAACCCCAAGAGACCCCGCCCCTTACCAGCAGGGAGCCCCTGAGAGCCTGAGGCTCTCCTCCAGTCTCAGGGTTCTCATTTCTGCTGAGGCTGTTCTCAAGGGCCCCGTCTGCCCCATCTGCCTTTTTTCTTTTTATGTAATATGGACCGCTTCACGAATTTGCGCGTCGTCCTTGTGCGGGGGCCGTGCTAATCTTCTCTGTCTCGTTCCAATTTTAGTAGATGTGCTGCCTAAGCGAGCACCCACCTGCCATTTTCTGAATAATTACTAGTTCTTTCTGGTCTTCGACAGGCTCAGCCTGTGAGCTAGAAGCTTCCACAGAGCCGAGAAGCGGAGTCCGAACCCAGCGTCAGTCACGAGCAAGCGGGTGCTGGAGATGAAAGGCTGCAGCTCTGAAGATGGAGCACCGCGTGCTGTCAGGGCGAGGTGGCCGTGTGGATTAAGGGAGGTGGAGGCAGCGCAGGCCCAGGGCGCTTTGGTTCATTGGGGACCCCACAGCACACGTGGCAAGGAGCAGGAGCCTCGCCTAGAATACAAGAGAGGAGGGAGTGAGCCACGTGGGAGCAGCTGAGAAGACGACTAACGAAGGGGGAAGAGCCAGCACAGCGGTCACGGGTGATTTGGGCGCCCCTGAGGAACCGAATGATAATGAGTTTGGCCCAGTGTTCTCCCAGGAATACTTATTTAACTTTTGATGCTAAGAGATATTGAAGCCCAACTCAGGACACGAAGTGTTAAGGCAAAAAGTGAAAGATTCTGATGACAGAGGCACAGCATTAAACCCTCAAAGACTGAAACTCTTCTCCGTTTTCAAAATGCTACCAAAATTCTGATTCCCCTATATTCTGATGAGTGTTTATTCGCTGATCCAGTGTCTGTCTCATAAAAGCTCTAAGGGGCCAGGGAGATAGCTCAGTAGAATAAGCGCTTGCCTGGCAAGCTCAAAGGCCTGAGTTCGATCCCCAGTTCTGCCAAAAAAAAAAAAAATTCATAAAAGCTCTAAACTGTTGTAAATTATTCAAAAAGATATTTACCAGACCCAGCCCAAGCCCAGGCCTGGTGAGTGTGTAGGAGAGCTTCTGTGCTCCCCTGAGCCCACTGGACCTCTCCGGACCAAGCCCAGGCCAGACACGTGAGTGAGACCTTCCACCACACTCTTGGGACCCCTCTACCCCTCCAGAGCCAGCCCAAGCCTGCAGCATGAGTGAAAATTGCCTCTGTGCTCTCGGGACCCCTCCAGACCCAGCCCAGGCCTGGCATACTGGCCTGGGGTGAAATTCTGAGGCTGAAGTCCCTGCAGAGAGACTAAGGGCCAGAACCACCCAGTTAATCCAAGAGCAGAACATCTTGCTAGAGGGGCACAAGAGGTGCACTTCCACTGGCTACAGCAGGAAGAAAGGTTTTTGATGACAGAGACACAACATTAAACCCTCAAAGACTGAATCTCTCCTACCATCTTCAAAATGCTACTGAAATTCTGATTTCTCCTATACCCTGAAGAGTGCTTATTCGTGGATCCAGTGTCTGTCTCACACAAACTCTAAACTCTTAAAAAAAAAAAAAAAAAAAAAAAAACCTCTTGTTTATTCAAAAAGATATTTAATAGGAAGGAACTTGGAAGTCCCTAGATCTCACTGAGAACACATGTAGTATTGTGCGTCTGTGCATATTTGCAGATCCTGGGCAGGAAGGGGATGAAGACTCATTTACTTCCATTCTACAAAGACATTCTAAACTCCTCTGTTCAATATTCAGTGACATCTGAGCCACTTCAAAGAGGTTAAAAATGTTATTATCTTCATTTACATGTTACATTTTAGCCGCAATATATTGAGCCCTCCTGCTTTGTTCATTACTCCATCCCACGGCTCAGTGCCATAGAACTGTGAGAACCAGGACAGATGCGAGCGCAGGGCCAGGAGGGGTGCAGGGCCTTGCTTACCACTCTGCTGCGTGCTGGGCCTCTGCCTGCTGGCTCCCATCAGAAACAGTCTCTGCAGCAACCCTGATCCTGCTGGTCCTGCCTGGGTCGTGGTCCCTCAGCCCATCCTGATCTACTGAGATCATGCAGCCCTGCAGCTGGGCTCAGCCCCCCTCAGCCCCTGCTGATTTGCATGCCAGACCTCACAGCCCTCTGCCTTGAAGACTTATTAATCTGCTCTCACCCTGCACAGGAGTCAGTCCCACTCAGGACACAGCATGGCCATGAGGGTCTCTGCGCAGTTCCTGGGGCTCCTGCTGCTCTGGCTGCCAGGTAAGGGGGGGCAGCCCTGGGAATTTTCTCAGCCCAGTGTGGCCAGTCCTTCCTGGCATTTGAGAGAGGATTTTTAAAGCCTGATTGATTTTGTGGATCTTCGTGTTTCTGTTTCCCACGTCAGGTGTGAACTGTGACATCCAGATGATCCAGTCTCCACCTTCCCTGTCTGCATCTCTTGGAAACAGAATCACCATCTCCTGCAGAGCCAGTGAGGACATTCAGGGCTTTTTAAGTTGGTATCAGCAGAAACCAGAGGACTCTCCTAGGCTCCTGATCTATGCTGCAAGCAGTTTGGCATCAGGGGTCCCACCAAGATTCAGCGGCAGTGGGTCTGGGACAGATTACACTCCCAGCATCAGCGACCTGCAGGCTCAAGATTCTGCCACTTATTACTGTCTGCAATACTATCAGAGCCCTCCCACAGTGATATGAGCCACAGCAAAAACCTCCCAGGGAAGCAGAAGTGTGAGGCTGGGCGGCCCCAGCTGCTCCTCCTGGGGTCTCCACCTGCTGAAAATGTTTTCTACATGCAGCCAGGCATTGAAGGTCCCTAGAGGATTTGGTAGAGGGTCAGGGATCCTCTTCTGCACTGTCATGGCCTTTCCCTCTCCACAGCCCCAGAAGTCCAGAGTATGAAGCACGTGGTTAAAGAAAGGAAAGTGTCTGACACCTGAGCGTTCTCCCTGGAGAGTCATTTGGAGCCCAGTGAACCAAAGAGAAGCTACTGAGGGACTGCAGGGAGAAAGGTTGTAATGCAGTGAATTAAAATCAGACATGTTTCACTGGCCTGAGGTGGCAGAGCAGCTGAGACTAGGTAGGGAGTGTCTGCGTCCTCACCCAGCTCCCAGTAGCACTGCAGAATGGCCTCCCCCTGTGGATTAAGGCTGTGGGAGAAGGCATGAGCAGCTCATGACTCTGCCCCTTGCCTGGAGCAGCTCTGCTTGGGACGTTCCGACCCTCCCCTCTGATGCTCTGTCTACCTACCAATTTCTGTAAGCACTAAGCCTCTGTAGACTTTGAAATCTCACACACTCACCCCTCCTCATTCAGCTCCACCACAGTGTGTAGAGGGAAAGTGGGCGTGAGAAACTTCCTGTCAGAATGCGGGTGACGTTGGGTTTGATACCTTACTGCCCACGTTGGCCTCTGTCATCCTGCCTCAGTTGATTCCCGCTAGGAAGTGGCACCCCAGTATGCTCCAATCTGTCTCCATTTATTATCTGTGGATACCCGATCATATCCCGTGATGTCCTGAAGTCAGGCGCTAAATGAAAAATAAGAGGGAATTGCATGATTCATGCAGAATCTCACACCGGAAGTTGCATTCCAACATATCCCGGGGCACCAGTCTGCGGTAAAACACATAGAAGCAATCTCTCTGAATGAAAAGGTTAAAGATTTAAAACCCATAAAACAGTTGGGTCGCTGCTATAAGTGCACTTTTTATATGGCACAAATTTGGCAAAAAAAAGGCTTCCCAGTAAAATTCCAATGTAAAGCACATCACTGAACAAGATGTCCCCAGTAGTTACGATGACACAACACCTGGAGGTCGGTTATTCCCCATTGCCAAACATTCCAGGAGCCCATGAGGAAGTGCAAGGCTACCAGACATGGAAGTCCACGCAGGCACTCTACAATTACATGGAACTGAGGGGGGTGTGGGCAATACACTTTAAGCCGTCTGACTTGTAAAGATGAACATCCTGTGCTTACTACACGTAGGCTTTGCCCTGTGTCAGGGAGGAGATCCCCCTAGCAATAGTTACCAAGGGAATTACTGTGAACCAAGGGCAGCATGTGGAAGCAGGAGGTCCTCTCTGATGGGCGTAATTATTCCTTGCACACCATGTGTCTTACTCAGCGCCCTTTGGCATTTGCTCTGTGTTTTGCTCAGAGCTAGGGTACTCCACACCATGCCGCTGTCATCCAAAGAACTTACTTAGAGCGAAAGACAAAATCTGTGCACTCCAGCTGTCATAACGTCACAATCACAGCTGTCCTCACAGAAAGGATGTCACAGCTCAGCACCTTGGCTGAGGGCAATGTGCAATTCAGTGACATCGACACTGACGGTGAGCAATCGTCACATGCTGCAGAAACATCAGAAGGCCTGGAGACGAGAAAGTGTTGGAGACGCTGTGACCAGACCCTTCAAACTGAGCCAAAGTGGACAATTATCAATCTCCAAGGAAATTTTGCATTTAAGTAGTAAATATATAACATTATATTGATTGTTTACAATACCCACTAGGTATACTTCAATTGCTTTTCCCAGATGGACAGTGTGGGATGGCAACAATAAAAATAATAAGATTTTCAAACTAACCGAAGGCTCCTGTGGCTACTGATAATTGTTTTTCAAATCCTAGTTATTGTAAACACATATAATTTGCATAAATTAAGGGGATTCCGTATATTTCTAAGCATGCATACACCATGAGGCCTTCATGTGCACGTATCTATTTTCTACCCTCTCCTGCCTTTCTCCTCTCTCTCCTCTTCTCTTTCCCCTCTTTGCTTCTCCTCTCACCTTTCATAGTCCCTAATCCTACTTGGACTATATACAGTGTAGCTATTTTCCACTTCAGTTTCCATATGTGCTCAGCTCACATCTAATCGTCCCTTCAAAGCTTCCCGCTCTCCTAGGTGGGGTTGTTGGAGTGGGTGTGTGACACTAGCTCAGCCCACTGCCTGGTTTATCACCATTCTGGGTGGGGGTTGTGGGTTTAGTGGAAGCAAAAACCACTTCTGGAGTGACAGTGCAGCCAGGCAATGGGTTTAGTGCTTGAGTGCAATAGATATGAAGAAGGTGGTGGTTCTGCTGCCCACCTTCCTTTCCGGGAGGTGTTTCTCCCTTGTGAGGCCGCGCAGTGGGAAGCCTCTACTCATTATGAGCGAAAGTAAACTCTTCCTCTTTTAACTTGTGGATATTGCTATTTTGTCCCAGGAACAACTAAAAACAAAAGACAACATATGAAATTAGAAATGTCATAGTTGTCTTTCTTTGGCTTATTTCATTTAACATGATTCCCTTTACTGGAGCATCTTTTCCTTCAAAGTCAGAATTTTATTCTCTTTTATGAACAAATGATAACCCCCTGTGTCTATATATCATGGTTGTTTAATCTGCTTAACTATTAATGGAAAACCAGGCTGATTTTATTTCTTACTACTGTGAATAATGCTCCAGCCAAGCCACGGACTGCACGCAGCCATGTGTTGTGCATGCTGACTTCACTTCCTTTGGAAAACACCCAGCAGTGGGACGATTGGACCACAGAGCTGCTGTAGATTTTGTGCTCTGAGTGTTCTGAGGAAGCCCTACGCTGCTTTCAACCTGGATTTACTGATTTATATTCTCAACAGAAATGCACAAGCATGTTTGTGAAAATTTGTAGGGTTAGGCGACATCTTTCTGTTCATCTACACATCCAGCTTAGCAAAAGGAATGACATCCCTGGAATCCTCAGTGTCACAGGGCAGGTGAGGGCATCAGCCTTTCAGGACACCCAGAGTACAGTGCACAGAGGGGGCAGCAGGACCAGGCAGCTCCTCCCGCTGCTGCAGCCTGCACCATGCGTCTCCCAACGCACCTGGCCGGGTGGTGAGGCTCAAGCCCTGCAGCTGGAGTCTCCCTGGGCTCCTTTGCTTCAAGATTTCACACTGCTTCCATGAGCACTTTGCAGGCTTCTCTGTACTGTAGCGGCCTTTGGTTCTGAGAAATAATTTTTATAGCACATGATCAAATATACTATTAATTCTAAAGTAAAACAGATATGCAAAAGAATGAAACTATAACTGGCCTGAAACTTTCTTCTTAGAAAAAAATTGTTCTGAGAGCAGAAAATGAAGAGAAAAGAGAACTAAGATTTCACCCAAAGAAATAATATAAATAGTCGCATCCTCATTGACAGTTGTGGCCTACTCATGTGAAGGCGCGCTCCACCCCCCATGCACTAAGCATCATGCTGCAGCAGTACTCTAACTGCTAGACACAGGGTTCTACATATGTTAAAGGAAACAATTTCATTGGTTTCCCAAACATTTCCAGTTGAAACTCATTTGGGCAAGACATAAGAGGGTGTCCGTGCCTCCTAAATCAACCTGCAGGCACGACACTTTCCTGAGAAGACCAAATGGAGGAGTTGACGTTGAGCCAGCCTGAGTGCTGAAGGCGTGTTCCAGGGTGAAATGTATCTCTGTCCTCTTGGTGCATCCCAAGCAGGCTGACAAATTCCAGGTATGGAAAATGTGTGCGGTTTCACAGGACAAAGTTGGGGGTGCTTGATTTCTCTAAATTAAATTTTATTGAGGCCATACAGGCACCAGTCAGGAGAGAGCCCAGTCTTAGGATATTTTGGTGAGGCTTGTGTTATGTCCAATGTAGCTCAAAGCCAAGGGCATTTTCAAAGGAAATCTGGGGAATTATGTGTGGCTTACGGTAAACCTGCACTGGCATAAATAAGAAGCAGATGAGCTGTGTGACAGCAGGGACACCAACAAGGCCTCATTTATGCTCATAGACGTTTGGGCTCACAGTCGAGACAGCGCCCGGTGTTGAGGTTCAGGGTCCTGGCACACAGCATCACTGTGTTATGCTTCGGGTTTCAAAAACATTCAGGAACATTAAATCTTTTTTGTCCTGTAGTTGTTTGTGATAATCATCCTATTGGGTATCTGTCTCTGCCTCCTCCATTGTGTAATTCCGTGACATCCCAGAATGTTTTCATCAAGCTGTGAAGAAAAGGACTGAAACTAAGCAACAAAACTTAGTGCACACAAGAAATGACTGATTTTGAAAAAAAAATTAAGCACAATGAATCTATCATCCTTGAACTGGGAACTAGAGAGCAACGAACAGGAAAATCTCATCAGGGTTCGGAATTACACAGGACAGGGGAGAACCTGTGTGCAGATTCCTCGGAAACCTAGAACTGGAGGCTGCACTCAGCCCAGCTATTGCCTTCCTAGGTATTTTTCCAAATGAACTCAAAACATCATGACAGGGCACATATGCACACCCATGTTTATGGCAGCACAATTTGTCATAGCTAAGTCCTGGGGACAACCATGAACTGAGGAAGGGATAAAAAGATGTGGAATATTTATACAATGGAGTATTACTCAGCTGTAAGAAAAGAACAAGTTGAGGCTTGTAGAGATAGATGGATGCAACTAGAGATGACACTCATAAGTGAAATAAACCAAGCCCACGTGTGCAAATGTGCTACCGGCTCGCTGCGGTAAGAAGCTGAAAGAGTAAGTACAACCTGAGAGGCCCAATAGATGCTGTGGAAGGGAAAGACACTGTTGAAATGAAAAGAACAACTGGCATGAGGAAAAGGACAGAAGAAAGAAAGAAGGCAAAAGGAATATATACATATGATAACTTGAATGATTATACTGCTGAATTCTTACTGGTCTATTTA